TCAGAATAAAATCATTAACAGCAAGATTCTGAAATGTAGCCAGACTTCTGTGCTGAGGTCGGTTGCATCACGGTGGGACTGAAGCAAAGTGGAAGAGGGGCAGATCGCGGAAGCCCCGGGAGGCTATTGTGTGGTGAGCAGAAGGGGGCAACTTCAGGGGAGAGGGACAGGAGAAAGGCTCCCAGGCTTCTCTGAAGCGAAGTATCAAACACGTGCCTGAGCGGTTGTCTGCTGAGAAGTCACTGTACCAGACACGCCAGCCTGGTGTGTCAAGCGGAGAGATGAGGGACTGTGAACAAAAGCTGCGGGCCAGTGAATGTCAAGTCTACCAAATAGAGTTGCAAACAGCTCCTGGGTCTGCAAGCAAAGGCTACAGACATAAATCAAAGAGCAATCTTCCAGCGTCAGCAGCATGGGAAGGACTGGCTGCTCGTCACGCTTCAGTGTCCTCCTCCAGGGTCTCGCCCCTAGAGAGTAATTACAGTTAGTGGTGTGGTCTGAGAGTTACGATGGCCAGGGTAGACCTTGTGGATGAGGCGAAAGGAGAGGACGATGCACCCCCATGTTGGAGACACGATTTACCTCTCCCCATTGGTATTCATTCTCACAATCGTGGAGAACCACTTAAAAATAGTTTCCCTTTGAGGTCTTCCTTCTCAGGATTTAGATAACATGCCTTGCTTATTTCCTCATCTCCAGCACCTGTTTATGAAAGTGTATTGCAGCCTTATATTTCTGCTGGGGAAGAAGCCTAAAGAGATTTGACTCCAGGGGTTCCCAGGGAGAAAACAATGTTCACAGTCATCGCATATTGTTAGGATGGCTCTAAATTCTAAATGATGTAATCAGGAAGCATTTGAAGGCGTCCGGCGGGGAGGGCGAGGGGTTGTCCACTCCCGGGAAAGATTCTTCAACATTTAGCAAGCGAAGTCAAAAGCAGGAGCTCGCCAGCAGCTCTGTTCTGGTCTTCAGATGTGTGAAGTCCTGGGCCGGGAAGGTCACCCAGTGGTGAGTATGGCCTTCCTCCCGTGGCTAGACAGTCGGCTTCATAACTCGAGTGCCATTGGCTCTTTTGATGTATCTGACACAGACTTTAGGGTGCCAATTCCAATAAAGGGTTCATTTTTGCAATTTCCTTAGTTATGAAAGAATTGTAAAGCTTTCCATGTGAGGGCAAGAATCACAAAGTAGATATTTATATGCGCTTTACTTGCTTTTTGGCTTTAAAAACAACAACAACAACAACAACAACAACAACAACAACATATAATTGCCCCTAAAAGAAATGGTGTCTACATATTGGTTCTGGTTTTACGTTTTGCAAGAACACGACCTGAATGGGCCTCACCCTCTCTTTCATGGATGGTAAATCCAGTGTGTTAGTATATTATGCATCGGTTTATAAAATTCTGTATCACCAATTCACAAAAGAATCCTGGAAGTTGCATTATTCACTGAGACTTCTGATATAATGACTACATTTAAAGAGTCGTGTGATCGTATTAATATTTTTAACTAAATAGCAGTAGGCATAGAAGCCAATACATTGTTATTACCATGCTATTAATTCAGCCTTGGAACAAAGAAGAAATCCCAGCATTAGTTCACAATTGCCTTTCAGCATAGCTTTCCTCAGTAAATACATAAGGGTTTAAAAAATCAACTACTTTTGGGAAGCCTGGGTGGCTCAGTTTGTTAAGTATCCGACTTCGGCTCAGGTCATGATCTCACAGGTTGTGAGTTTGAGCCCTGTGTCGGGCTCTATGATGACAGCTCGGAGCCTAGAGCCTGCTTCAGATTCTCTGTCTCCCCCTCTCTCTCTGCCCCTCCCCTGCTAGTGCTCTGTCTGTCTCAAAAATAAAACATTAAAAACATTTTTTTTTAAATTAACTATTTTCTAAGTTCCAGCAAAGCCATTTATTATGGAGAAGGAGCGATTTCTGAGGCCAGATTAACCTCATGATATTTTCCTTCTCATTCTGATACAAAAGTAAATCAGTACTCTACTGTTTCAATTTCTAAATCATGCTATTTCCAGGAAAGAGAATCTTCTTGATTACTGTTCAATCCCCTTTGCCAAATAATTATACAAATGTATGTAATTTTCTATTTTTCACAAGAGTAATGGTGGTATTTTAAGGAAGTGGAGTTCCAGTCTTTGGTGGTACTGAGAATGCCTCCTTAACTGTGCTTGTTGGCAGTGTTCTGCCCTTCTGCTAAGACGTAGATTCTCTGGGCTTCATTTTACTCTGTTTGGATGTTCCCCATTTGCACACACTTAATTGCTTGGCAATTTGAAGTTTTAATTTTGGCTTTAGTGTCTTAGGCTTCCCTTGAAATTTTTTTGTTTTAATTTTTTATATTACATCCTTTTACTCAGAGGGAAGATTAGATGCAAGAGACAACAAGCCCCTCCAGGATCAGGAACCCAATCTTTGTTGATCCTGGGTGTTATACTAAAACGATGCAGTATTCAGGCTTCCTCAGAAAACGGTGCCAAACATGTCATGGCTAGCTTCCCATGATTAGAGCATCCTAACATATTGTAGATCTGGGCTTTCCAGGGTGCAGAACCCAGGGGTGGCTCTTTGGTAAAACTGTAAATAGCAGTCAAGTGTTTAATGACATAATGTGAATTTTTATAGGTTCATCTAATTCTACAACCAGATTGCTTTCCGAACACTTGAGACAAATCTTCACTCACTCTCTGGAATTGTTCAACATGCACAGGTTAATTTCTCCCTATTGATTTTCTCTATTCTGCATCTTGAATGCTTCGAGATCTCTTGACCTACCCCCAAAATTTCTGCGACTGTCATTTTGAAAAGAATAGCTCTCCAAAAGAATGCTTGAAAGACCCATGAAGATGACGAAATAACTCTTCCCCAGCTATCAGCAGGGCAATTTAACTGGACATTTTGATTCGATTTCAAGGAGGGAACAAAATCATGAACATTTAGAAGATATTTCATATATTCAACGTTCTGGACGTGAGCGCTACTCTCATAAGCATCCCCAGGGAGGCATAATATTCTCATCTCATGACTGAAAATTTCAAGTTATATGAGAATAATACAGAGTCATAACCAGAAACACCTTGGGTAACAGAAGGAGGGCAACACAGCACAGGAGGGAAGGCACTGGTCAGAAGAGCCATCTGCCAGCCAGGAATTAAGACTCCCCTCTTTGGCCTTTTGTTATTCATCTGGAAAAAACAAAGCGGGTTGGAGTCGAAGAGTCTTCCCAGTTCTCAAATTCAACACCTCTATATCCAAGACATTATAGACATTTTTATTAACAGAAAAACTAAGTTAAAAGGGAACAACAAAAGCAAAATAAAAACATTTTCTACCTGGAAAAACTTGAAAATGTATAATCAACATGACTCTTTCATCTAGAGATGCATCTTGATCCTTGTAATTTCTTCCCCCCCTTGTAATTATTGAAAAGTAAAAAAAATAAAAAAAGTAAAAAAGTAAAACTTTTTTTTAATTTTTTTTTAATTTTTTTTTTTTCAACGTTTATTTATTTTTGGGACAGAGAGAGACAGAGCATGAACGGGGGAGGGGCAGAGAGAGAGGGAGACACAGAATCGGAAACAGGCTCCAGGCTCTGAGCCGTCAGCCCAGAGCCTGACGTGGGGCTCGAACTCACGGACCGCGAGATCGTGACCTGGTTGAAGTCGGACGCTTAACCGACTGCGCCACCCAGGCGCCCCAAAAAAGTAAAACTTTTAAAGATTAAATGTTCCAATTAGTTTTGTAATCATTCCTCTCTTCACCCCTAAAGTATTGCCCCATTAACAGAAAATGGTGTCAGAAGCACTTTATTGATGGAAATTCCTTCTGTGAGCTTCCAAGGGAAACAAAAAAAACATCATCAATATCACCAACAAAAAACAAACAAGTTAACAAAAACTCCCGAAACAAAACAAATAAAACCACTTCTGTGTCCCCGGCACTGACCACACAGAATGAAAGTGAACCAAGCCATTTTCGCACATCACTTGGAGTGTAGATTTATTTGGATTTAAGAATCTCCTCAACAAATTACATCAACCTCACTCCATTCCCTTCCTTAATAAAAATTATGACTGGACAAACATCAGACTTTTAAAATTCTAAAAGTAATAGAAAAGTAAAAATAGATTTCCTAGGGAAATCCCTCTCCTCAACCTTGCATGGTTTTGCTGCTTCTGTGAAATCTTTCTCTTTGGAGTAACTTGGTAGCATAGATTTTGTTTTGTTTTGTTTTGAAACAGGATTTGTACAAGGGCACTGAGTTAGAACTTGAGCAGATTTGTGGAGCGTGAGCTTTTACGAACAATAAGTTACCTCTGCTCTAAAAAGGAAAATGGCAAATGTAAATGAAAGAATGGGAACATTGGAAGTTCGTTTCATTGTGTAATTTACGTCTTCCATTAGATAGTGCACCCTCGTTTAAAAATAGAACAAGAGAACAGAATGGTATGAGCACTCGAAAATCATCTGCAGCACTTTGAAGGGTTAAACCTGCTTAACCCATTCTTAGTCAGAGAATGGCACCAGAGAGTACAGCTCACCCCTTAAGCGTGGCTCGTTCTAAACCTGCGGTCTCCTCAGCTTTTCAGAGCAGTCATGCACTCTATTTCCGCCCCCCTCCCACCCAGTTTATAGGATCCATTCATAGCTACTCACTACTGCAGGATTTGACCTGAGAAATGCTAGGATTTATTAACTCAGCAGTTGTTTTGAAAAGTCCTTAAGTAATCTTTGCCCTTGTCCAGCAAGGGCACTGCTAGTCTCGAGTTCTCAGATGCAGCTGGTGAGGTTCTCGGCCAAGTTCTTCAGATGCAGGAATTTCTGCAGGACAACCTACTTTGACATGGCATTTACAAATCTTTAAACCAGGCTTCCTGGATCTAGGAAATGTTATTCCTGACTCCTTCGACCCAGATGCTGGCTAAAATTTAGTTTTTATAATCTGTAGGTAATCACTGGTTCTTTCCTCCTTCCTTCTTCCTAGGAGCTGGCATGGTGGTTAAATTTTTCTAAAACAGTCATATTAAGATGTTCAAAAACCCACTGCTGAGTCTCAGATAGAGGGTCACATCTGGCCATGAAAATCTTCTTCTCTGCGGGGTTGCAGTCCACACAGCTGTTGCTCACAGGATGGAATAATGTTCTGTCCTGGAGGGGTCAGAAAGAAAAGAAAGGACTGACATGATATACGGTGAATGACTGGAGTCCAAAATACAGACAGGAAGTAAACATATCCGGGTTTACATTTCAGTATATACCCAGAGTGTGAAAAATAGGCCATCTCCCAAATTAAACAATAACAGGTTGGAGAGCTGCATGGAAAACAGTTTCTCAGCGCCCATTGGCAGTACGTTGGGACTCCAAAGAGGTTCAATCAGAAACAGAGAATTCATTCCTTCACTGATTCTTTTAAAAAGTGATCCATCATTTTCTATTCTATAGTGAGTGCTTTGCTACATGCTTGGGTTTTAAAGATGCTAAGTATATGAGGTTGCTTGTCAAGTAGCTAATAATCTAGGTATTTGGGGAGAGGCACACAGACAAAAATGGTAATTTAGTCCATAGCAAACAACAACAGTAACACACACATACACACACACACACACACACACACACAGACACACACACGGCCAGGAGAGTCATAGTCTTCCCTCCCTTTGTATTGAGCCTCTAATGGGAAAGAGAAATTTGAAAGAAACAGGCACCAAACAAGCTAGGTGCTCTGTTGCCCTCTTCAGAAGATACGGGGACGGAGATACCTGATGCACAGGCAGAATCTCAATGTACAAACTCAAATTTATTAGCTCCGGAGCTTAGTACCTTCAACCCCTCTTTCTGCCATCACAGCTCTTCCTGTGATGCAATTCTCATTGCTTTCTGTAAAACGGAAGAGGCAGCCTTCACTTCTTTTTTACAAAGTTGCTAAGTACATGATAAAGATAACAGCTCTGTGAGAGACAGTTACCATCAGGATGCAAAGTTTAAGTGGTGAACAAGCCCACTATCTGAACAGGCTCTACTAACACACAGGTCTTTTTTTTTTTTTTTTTTTTTTTTTTTTTTTTTTTTTTTTTTAAGTAATCTCTATGGCCAGTGTGGGATTCAAACTCATGACCCCTAGATCAAGAGTCACATGCTCTTCAAAGTGAGCCAACCAGGAGCCCCAACACACACCTCTTTTCATTGTTCAAGTAGGGAAAAGGAAGTTAAAGCAAAGAGAAAAAAAATCTTTCCTTAACCACTAATAAAACTTTTTGTCTCTTACAGTGTCTATGGAAAACAAAGCCAAGAACATGTAAAAGCATCCTCAAATCACTGCTTAAATGTCAGGATCAAATGCTGTTTTTTTTTAGGAAATGTCCAGGGGTTCTGATTATTTTCTTTAGCTGAGGAATATTGGACTCCCAATGCGTTTAGAGTTAAAGAGTTTCTCAGGCAACCTGTGTCAATATTCCCAGGTTGCTTCTGGATGTTGAGACTCCATTAACCAATATTTAATGTCCTTTTAGGATCCGGATGTTTGCACAGTTAGGCGCTGTGTGAAGGGAGAATAAGGAAGGAGAAAGGCAGTGCCTGCAATTTAGTGCTTGTTTCTATTTAGTGCAAGCAAAGAGCTCTGCCTAATACAAAGCCTCACTTTTCTGTTTTCTTAGGTTTCCTGGGTTTATTCGTGGATTTTACTTTCCTTCCACAAAGAGGGCTCCTGAGGCGTCCTCCATTTTCTTCACCTGAGGCTTTGCTAATGCAACTGCTGTTTGACAAGAGGGGAAACTCTGAGGAACTCTGTCCTACTCTGGGTGGAGGGGGCAGATTCTAGTGCGGAGGCGGCCCTGTAGCTCACCCCACGCATCCTTCTCTCTTGGGGCGAAGCTTATGATTAGAGACCCCTTCTCTCAACTGCAGTGCGCCCTTCCCTCTTGGTTCCCAGCATCTCTCACACTCAGTCTCCTGCCCCCTTCTACCAGTTTTGAGCTACATGGGCCTAATGAAAAACTGAAATCAGTTTTTGAAAGAGCCTTCTTAAGCTGTTAAGTTCCTGAACATTCTATGTGGCCTACTAAATTCTAATTCATTCTGTTCCCCGTACATGTACTTCTTTCTTCCCCTTACTTATCTGTGTTTCCTTCTATTGTTCCCTTTGTCAATAGCTCAAGTGGGGACCTTTAAATGCTCACAGTTTCTCCCCCAAAGCACATATTTCTATGAAAGCTAAAAAAAAAAAAAATGAGAAAAGAAAGGAGTAGAATGCGTTCCTATTCTCTTTCCTTTGCCAGCTTGTGTACTCAGTCCGGATGCAAAAGCCAATCCTGATTTTCTAAACGGTATTTGCTGAGCTATAAGGTGATCGTATTTCTCCCAATCTCAAATTGGAACACATTCTCTGACAGATACAGGTATATGCATGAGGACAATCAGACAGGATATGCAAATTCAGCACAACCCTGAAAATCTGTTATTGTACTGCATGTTCAAATAAAAGTTGAAAAGTTGAATTCCCTAAATCCATCTATGGCTCTGAGAAGCTTCAGCAGCGAAATGAGAGGGTAGATAAGATTAATCTGTAAGGCCTCTCCTGGCCATAAAATTGAATGAACATTTTATTCCAAAGTTCACTGGTGACAGAGACAAATGCTGGGGCAGCAAAGTAGAAACTATCAACAATACTGAGTTGATTGATAGATTGATCGTTCTCTGGTTATAGACTGAGCTCCGTTCACCCTTGTCTTTGGAGTATCTGATAGGTCCTAGAGGCGAGGCTTCTGGAGGCCTTGCCAGCCTCTCCAGAGCCTGCTTCTTCCGCTTTTGACCTTGGGGGCTGTGTACATTGCCATGCTTCTACATCCTACCGAGCTTTTGGATTACGAAATGTCTCCGCTGATGGTTCTCTTGGCTGGAATTAAGTCAGTGGAATGGGTAATCGTTCGTCAATATGGTCTCTTCTTCTATGACAGCCCTTTGCACCCCTACCCTCCATCTCATGATAGGAGATGGTCGTAACAGAATTGAATACGATGTTTTTTCTTTGGAATAGACTTCTGAATGCTTTGGCCAGTCTGCTGTTCCAAAACCCCCTTAACGGGTGCTTTTAACCGGACTGCTCATTGTTCAGTCCTGACCGGGAAGCACAGCATGTGTTCTGGCTGTTCAAAGTGCAATACAGCAAACTATGTCTCTGGTAGGTCTCCCACCTTCCTTGCCTGCTTCCTCCCTTGTTTTTTCCCGGGTTCCTTTTATATCTTTTCAAAAAATGTTTATTTATATTTATTTGTGTGAGAGAGAGAGAGGGAGGGAGGGAGGGAGGGAGACAGAGAATCGCAAGCAGGCTTCATGTTGTCTGCGCCAGAGCCTGATGTGGGGCTTGAACCCACAAACCATGAGATAGTGACCTGAGCTGAGATCAAGAGCTGGATGCTTAACCGACTAAGCCACTCAGGTGCCCCTCCTGTTTTGTTTTTGCCTAGGAAAATTAGAAACCCTTGAGCAGGCAATGAAAAAGTTACATCCAGGGTTATGGAACTGCCCTTCATAATCAAATCGGGTCAGACTAAATATCCAGTTCTGGCCATTCAGCTCACGCTGTGAAAGGTGTAAAGTGGGCCTTTTCAGGTGGCTCGTTGAAAGGGACACCTCTCCAGAGCAGGCCTGTGATCTGATTGGCATCTGTGGGACACTCGTAGGCCAGCATTAAATTTGATTAGATGTCACGCTTCGACAGGGTTGGAACTTTGAAGGAATGAGTACGTTGTAGAAAGCATTCCATGTTGTGTTCAAGGTGGTAAAAGAACAAAACACCAGAGATGCAAAGACAATAAAAGAAGTGTGTGAGTTCACAGTGTTTGGAAAGATGATTCTGAGAATAAAACTCCCACATAGTAGAAGGCAACCTAGTAGTGGCTATAGGGCTGGGATTTTGCTCTGCAGGGAATTTGGATCAAATTCCAGGCAGGCCACGTACTTATGTGACCTTGGACAGTATTTAATTCTCACAACCCCAGGTTCCTCATCTGTAAAATATAGATAATACTATATCCTTTGCAAGTTCGTTGTAAGGATAAAACGAGTTAATATATGTAAAATTGCTCGCACAATGTCCTAAATATAATAAGCGATTCCACTCCGCATCTTCCCTTAATTTATTTTTAGCCAGGGAGCATCCCCAATTCTAAAAATCAGAATGTACAAACCATCTGGCCCAAGACCAGCTATTCAAGAACAAATTGCATTTTCTGAAATCCTGGCAAAGTAGAATTTGCAAAAATCAGCACCTTCCCCAACCAGTTATCCGAATTGTTATACCAGCACCTTCCAATTTAAACAAAAGGACTTATGGGGGTGCCTGGGTGGCTCGGTTGGTTAAGTGTCCGACTTCAGCTCGGGTCATGATCTCACTGTCCTTGAGTTCGAACTCCCTGTCAGGCTCTGTGCTGACAGCCTGCTTCAGATTCTGTATCTTCCTCTCTCTCTGCCCTTCCTCCTCCACTTGTGCTCTGTCTCTCCCTCTCTCAAAAATAAATAAACATAAAAAAATGTAAAAAAAAAAAAGGATTTATGGAACAAAGGTTTTATGTCCAAAAGGATTTATGGAACATGGCTCTGGAATGAGCCCTTCTTTGTAACTATGATCAGAGTTTGTATATGATTCATATGTTTCAGCCCTTTGCCTGAAATACAACACTGTTCAGGACAGCTTTCAAGAAGTATTTATTAACTATCTTTTGTTTTCTGGTATGTATTAGGAGATAGGCTTAGAAAGATAATCTCAGATGTATCTCCTGACCTAAGAAGTGGGGGAGACCAACAGGTAAACAAGAAATGTACGAAGTAAGAAAGTGCCAGAGAGATTGCAGATGAGGGAGAGTAAGACGTATTAGGGTATTTCAGACGTAGAGAAGAACTTGAGAACAGAGATGTGATAGCATGCGCATTTATGCATTCAATTTATTCAACAAAAATTTATTTGGGACCTACTATTATCAGGCACTATTTCAGGTGTCTAAGATGTATCAATGAACTTAGCAAGACAAAAATCCCTGCCCTCTTGGATCTTACATGCTAGAGGCAGGGTGGAGGTGAGTCACTGGGGGCACGGGCAGTAAACAATGAGTGTAACAGGTAAAACATACAGTCAGTGTGCAAACTGAAATAGG